GTGATTCGGCTCTGATTCAATAATGATAGAACACAAGGTTACGCCAACCGCCATCTTAGGATGAAATTCTTTTGGAATGGGAAGAGGCATCATAGAAAAACTATCAAGTAGCCTCTAATTGTAAACAATAAGGTAAACACTTTTTTAGTTCGTGTAATAGACTTAATTTCTTGGTTTAAAGTGAAATGAAAAGTCGCAATCTCAATTAACAATTATGTTGTCAATAGATAAATATATTAATTAAACAAGTAAGGAAGGGCTAAATTCGGATGTAACCGAGCATTTTATACTCTCGCAAAGTCAAATAGTATACTCGTTTGAGATTTCTTTGTGGATTGACTGATATTTTCGGTAGAAGGTCAACTATAGGCACTGGGGTTCACATATTTCGTACTTAGGGGCTTAAACAGTTTTGGTTCGATTTAGACAATTTTTCGCCACAAGGTGGCATACTTTAATCGCATTATTCACGCAAAGTTTTATCCCGATACGTCATTGTTGCCTGATTTGCATAGTGGAATGTGAAAGAATCAGATGGAATTGAAAATGGTGTTACATGGGAAGTAAGCGTGGTTGTAGTCCGATTTCGCCCATTATCCCACTATGACATAGAAACATAAAAAGAACGTTATGCACCGAATTTGGTTGAAATCGGTTAAGCAGATCTCAAGATATGGGTTTTCACCTAAAAGTGGGCTGTGCCACGCCCACTGTCTAATTTTGAACGCGGTCATCTAATACCATCTCAGAGATAAAATTTAATGTCTCTGGCGTGTTTAGTGCTTGGTTTATCGCGCTTTTAGTAGTTTTTAACAGTACCGTTATATGGGGAGTGGGCGGAGTTGCCACCCGATTTCAACTATTTTCACACCGTCAATAGAAGTGCTAAAAACATTTGCTTCTAGTGAATTTTGTTATTATAGCATTATCGGTTTAGGAGATATGCACATTAAACCTATTCGACCACGCCCACTTTTTAAAAAAGAGTTTTAACTGCAGATGCCCCTTCCTAATGTGATCCTGTGTATCAAATAACAGTCTTGTATCTTATTGCGGAGCTTAGTTATGGCAAGTTATTTGTTTTTGGTTATTGGCGTTTTGTGGGCGTGGCAGTGGTCCGATTACGCCCATCTGCAATACCAACCGTACCATGAAACATGTCTACCAAGTTTCATAAAGATATCTCAATTTTTACTCAAGTTAGAGCTTGCACGGACGGACGGACAGACGGACGGACGGACAGACAGTCACCCGGATTTCAACTCGTCTCTTCATCCTGATCATTTATATATATATAACCCTATATCTAACTCGATTAGTTTTAGGTGATACAAACAACCGTTAGGTGAACAAAATAATTATACTCTGTAGCAACAGGTTGCGAGAGTATAAAAATTACCCAAATAAATAAAAATATAAAAAAAATTTCACGCAACATTATTCCTTACTCTAAAACTATTTCTCTAATATGTACTACTAAGTTAAGTGTTTAAATGAGGATAAACTCCTCCCCCCCAGTGGACCACAAGTTACGTGGCCCCATGCTGTAAACGCAATAATGCGACATCTGCCTCAACGAGAACCACCCAGCAGCTCCTGGCTCCTCGCACAGTCTGTTCCGTGTGTCAGACCACGCCGGAATGTCACATCAGTCACGTGCAATTCTTGTACTGGCTGGTGTCACTTTCTGTCGTGTTCTGGTCTGCGCACCACACGAGAGTGGAGTGCGTCGTACGTTGCCCCATGCTGTAGGAGTCTGCCCCCGCAATCACATAAAATGGCGTCGCCAATCAACACCATAGTGCGACAACCGCCCATGCGGATAGTACAGCTGCAACAACCACCACCTACACGCACCCCACTCATCCCTAGGATCACGACTGGACACCCGCGACAAACGCGACTCTTACAATTCAACTGCAACAGACCCCAGAGTAAGATCGAAGAGATAGTTGCATTCATGAGCCGGGAGCGCGTAAAGATAGCTGCTATCCAAGAAGCCAAGTTAAACAGCCGCTCAGATCTTCTGAGTTGTGCAGGTTTCAACGTTTTACGTAAGGATCGCGAGCGAGATAATGGTGAAGGCCTAGCCTTTATATTGCACAACACCGTGCAAATCGCAAATGGTAAATCATCATAATCGGACAAAATGGAGAGAGCACCTGAAGTTCTGCAACCTCTCCACCGGTGTGAGTATGTTTTGGACTACTGTCAAGGCCCTGTCAAATCCGAGAAGACATGACGATCGGGTTGAAATTCAATTCGATGGCCATGCCTCCTCGGACCCGAAGAAGTGCGCGAGCTATTTCAGCCGGCAATTTACACTGCACCCTTCAACTGACAAGGCCAAACGACGTGTAACCTGACGGCTGCGCAAAATGCCAAAAGACTGCGCACCACTTACTTTCACCGATGTGGAGGTTCAGTGTCATCAAAACGGCGAAATCATCTAAATCCATTGGCCCTGACGGAATAAGCATGCTGATGCTAAAACACCTAGGCCCAACGGAGTAAACTATCTCACCAAGGTCCTCAACCTGTCGATATCCACTCTTCAAATACCCGAAGTGTGGAAAGTCGGAAGAGTGGTCCCACTACTGAAACCTGGGAAACCCGCCAACAAAGGGGAGTCTTATCGCCCCATAACTCTCCTTTGCCCAGTAGTGAAGACACTTGAGGCCTTGTTACTCCCGTCATTCACTCACCACCTGAGCCTAGCAGATCATCAGCATGGCTTCCGTTAAGTGCACAGTACCACCACAGCACTTAGCGTCTAGCCAGATAGTTCATGGCCTGAACCAGAAGCCACCCTGCGAGGACGATCCTCGTAGCGTTGGACTTGTCAAAGCTTTTGACACAGTCAATCACACAACGCATTGAGGACCTAGAACAATCAACCTCCCTCCAGGGCTGAAGGGTGGACTATGAACACCTGAGCGGTCGGCATTCATCCGTACTGTTTCGAGGTCAAAACTCCAAACTGAGAAGAATTAAACAGGGGGTTCCGCAGGGGTGTCCTCTCCCCTTTACTGTTTAATTTCTACATCTCGAAACTCCCTCAACCACCAGAGGGAATTTCCGTGAACGCGTACGCTGATGACTGTACGATATTGACGTCGGGGAATGGAAATCGATGGCATGTGTTCAAAAGTAAACAGTACCTCTCCGATCTTTCCGCTTCTTCTCTTGCAGGAGCCTAACATCTCTCCCACTAATCCACAGCGACTATCTTCACAAATTGGACGAAGGAGTACAGGACAGGACCTGAACATTTCAGTCGATGCACAAAAATTCCGACAGTCAATAACCCTAAAATTTTAGGCGTCACTTTGGACAGTCTGTGCTCTTTCACTCTCACTACGACCACATAAGTACAGAGCCGCAACAAAATCTCAAGTCGCTTGCCGGCAGCTCTTGGGGAAAAGACAAAAAACGTTGTGTGCAAATACAAGGCAATCGGCCGGCCGGTCCTAAATTACGCAGTCCCAATATGGTCGCCTGGGTGCAGTGACACGCAGAAGAAGAAGCTTCAGACCTGTCAGAACACTGCACTCCGGACTATCACGGGATGCTTCTTGATGTCTCCAATCGAACACCTACATAGTGAGGCCCGTATGCTTCCGGTTAAGGAACATAACGAGCTCCTCTCCAAGCAGTTTCTGCTGCGATGTTTTCGTAAAAACCACCCCTGTAGTCGCCTGCTTTCCTTGATTACGTCGACGACATTAGACAGTACGCCGACCGGACTTCGGACGCAAAGAACTTTAGACAGGCACTGACCGCCATTCACAGTGGGGCCATCAACACCTTCACAGACTCCCTCTCAGTGAATGGCGTAATAGGAGTCAAACCACCACCCATAGCACGTAGGCTCGAGTTGCCTCGGCGGAAACCGTGGGAGTGACCCTTCGCGCAACTTCGTTCTGGATACTGTAGCAGGTTAAGCTCCTACTTATTCAGAATAGACCCCGACATACCAAACACATGTCCTGCGTGCAATGAGTCTCCGCATGACACTAACAACCTCTTTGCATGCCCAACAAACCCCACTCATCTAACACCCCTCTCCCTATGGTCCGACCCCGTCGAAACAGCTCGTTTCCTGGGCCTCCCGTTAGATGACCACGACGACAACGAATCTGGAATTTATCACCCAAACGGGGACTAGGTAACCGTTACAACAACAACATACACCACACTCATACATCACCACACGGGACAACACAATACACCACATCATCGCGCCTGTACACCACACCAGCAAACAAAAACGATGGTCTCCGCAGCAGATACACCTTATTGGACAAAATAGCGAACCTGCGCGCAACCCTATTCATCCATTTCGATTGTACACTGCGCCGCGTCAACACCTCATTCGATTGGACAACTGATTCGATTATACGCATTGATCCACATGGATTCTCGCCGCCCGGCTCTTCGACATCCACTTTCATTTATGAACTTCGTAAAGTTATAAATGTCATAATTTTACATAAATGCGATGGTTCAAATTAATTGGTGAAAATAAATTGAAAATAGTGGGATTGTTCACAAAATCACACAAGTATTTTATTTTAACGGTTCAGTGTGAGAAATAGTGCACTCTCCGTAAAATTGGGTGTTAATTTGTTCACGAATTACCAAAAGTGCTAAGGTTTTTCCTTGCAATTTACATGCTGTTCGATACTTCTTCTCTTTCTATAAGTATTACGTCACATGATGGCGGTTATAATACAATTTGTTTTTGTAATAATTGTCTCAGCCTAAACCGAAAAAACCAACGGTAAATACTTGTCGTTATCTTGTATTCTATCATTATTGCTCTGATTTTTATTTTTGCTTCTAAGTCAGTATAAGCAAAAAGAATTTTAAAGTAAAAAATGAATTTTATTTATCTAATTAAATAACTAACGTATATTTTATCACGTTCATATCACTCATTAATAAGCACATAAAACAACGAATGTTGAAACATGAGTAACTGCGAATTAAAATAACAATTCTGTTAGCGTATGAGTTTATTTCTGATAAGTAAATCATAAGTCTTTTTCTGTAACACTCAAAATTGATATCAGATCAGGTTCGAACAATTAATTCAAAATTTGTGACACCAAATCCATAAATTGTCGATTTTAATGCTGATTGCGATAACGATCGAATTCCATAACATCCCTGAATAGGTCTCCCACGGCTGTATATATTTATATACATATATATTTTTAATATGGAGAGCCTCCTCTGTCCCAATACGGAGGATGATATTCTAAAGTGTTCCTGCAGACGAAAGAATATGTACCATTTCACCTATGGCACTATTATATTATTATTATTCTTGTAAACACTTTTTAAACATTTTTAATTAATAAAATAGATGCTGTTAAGGGAAATAGTAGTCCTTATTATAACTTTTATTTTTTTAAGAGGTATCATTGCCATTTATAATACTTCCTCAAAGAAGGTGACAATCACTGTATGTTTCTTTATTTTAACGTGTTACAAACTATTAGTTACGGATACTATTAAATCCCGTGCAAAAGAGGAATACAGCAAATAAAATTTAATTGTAGTAATCATATTTTAGAGTGAGTAAGCTAGTCGAATGGATGCGACTAATCGTTGAATCAAAAACTATGGCATAATCCAAAAATATATTATTGTTTGTACTGTAACCTTTTCAATAGTATCATTAATATCCTAAGTTAAAGCTGTGTTTAGCCAAGCCAAAATTATGAGCAATTATCTTAAGCTTTTTTATTAGAAACAGATATGTTTAGTTAAAACGGCATAATGTTAAACATCGATTATTCCCGTTAAATCAAAATTTTCATCAACATAAGAATAAGAGCTTACTTTAGTGATGATGGCCAAAAGTTATAATAAGAGGAAGTAATGCACCACATATTAATATTATCATTTCACTTAAAAGAAGACCTTTCGAAAATCGGGCATTGGTAGAATGTATATCACCCTGAGATTCAATCCCACTTGATGCACAGTTCAGTTGACGATAATCATACTGGCCATGTGAATGCGAATTAGAAACATGAGTTAGTTCTGGTAGAACATGCACTGTTGCTACATACAAAAATGTGCCTGCTGAGAAAAGCATAGCTATTCCAGTCGCATTTAAAGAATTGAGGGTTTCCTTTTGTTCCTGTCCAATTCCAAAAAAAGTCAAAAGAGTTAATAGTGGAGCCGAGCAAGAAAAAATTAACAAGTGCTTGCGTATTTGTTGATGTTCAATTTTTTCATGCAAAAGAAAACTAACGAGCCCAAAGGCAGCTGGAGCTTTATGCAACATGATTGCTAAAAATACAATAATTTCAACGTCTTGGTGGGTGGTCGTTGCTGCAGCTCCAAGAGCTACTCCATCAGCTGAAAATGGAAAAAAATATATATAATTAAATTAATTAAAATAAATGTGTATACATACCAGCGGCATGAACAACCAAGCCTAATGTTGCTGTTATGTTTTTATCTTTAGAACTGTTTACGCTTTTATGTTGCGATATGTGGTCCACAAGTAGCATAAATACAAACCCCAATACAAGTGATACACCAATAGTGCGGGAGAAGTCAGATTCTCTCATATGGTCAGTATTAATAGTATCTGTTGTAGCAGGAAATAGAGGTTTTTCAACTTTGCGTCCAGACATCGTGGCAACTTCTGGCAACTTGGCTTTTAAGGTATCCATATATAGTGAGCGTATTCCTTCCGGAATGATAACGGTTAATGCGGTACCTACCAATAAGCCTGCACCCAAAACTGTAACAAACTTAAGTTTTTCCTGAAAGTAGTTAAATATATCTATATTTTATGCCGAGTTTTACGTACATATACAAAACAAGCATTCAAACATTAATGCGGAAATAAGTAATGCGAATCGATTTCGTGGTATCGCTAAGATATATATACAATCCTTCTTCGCCGGAATTTGTGTAAATTTTACTTATTATACTCTTGCAATATGTTGCTACGGAGTATAATAGTTTTGTTCACCTAACGGTTGTTTGTATCACCTAAACCTAATCAAGAAAGAGATAGAATTATACATAAATATAATATATAAATGATCAGGATGACAAGACGAGTTAAAATCCGATGGACTGTCGTCAATCACCGTCCGTCTGTCTGTCCGCCTGTGCAAGCGATAAATTGAGTAAAAATTTAGATATATTGATCAAACTGGGTACAATGTTCCTTGGCATCCAAGGAGGGTTGGTATTGCAGATGGGCGAAATCGGACGATTGACACGACCACGAAACGCCATTAATCGAAAATACATTTATAATGCAATAATGGGTGATTATTCGGATTATTACCTGAATATAAATATGCTATATGCCAGACACATTTTACACCCGAGATGTTACGAGAGGGCTTTCTAGTAGCCGGGGTCAAAATAATACGATGGACGTGGCATCGCCAACATTTAGGATACTCAGGACCTACTCGACCGATATCGATCAAATTTGGTATGGGATACTATCTTGAGGGGCACAATAGACCCTATGTCTCGGTGCAAATCTCATACAATTTCTACTATCTTGACATTTTTATGTTCTAGTGTGAAAATGTGCAAAATCAGATAAAAACTACGCCTACTTCCTATATAACACAATTTTAAATTCCAACGCAAGAATCAATCAATATATCCGGAACAAATAGTGCCTTTGACGTGTGACCAAAAATTGTCCAAATCTTACCAAAACTATTCAAGCCTCTACGCACCGAATAAGTGGATCCCAGTTCCAATTGTGAAATTTGATCGAAAATATATATATGTATATATGTGGCGACACCCACATTAAATATATCTTTAAATTTATTTAATTCATGCATTCACAGGTTAATATTAAGTTCATTTATATTAGTACAACTAAGGGTTAAGTTATCCTACATTCTACTTTACATTTATCTATCTCTACATTTAGCTTACATTTAGCTATCTCTCTTACATACATTAATTAAGCTATCATAATAATGCATTACATATTGAAAGCATCATCACCTGATGCTATAAACACAATACGAGCGACGGCGAATATTCGTCGTACTCGGCGATGCCGTCGGACGGATTTTCGCCGAGTGTTGCCGCCGTGTAAACCACAATACTAACGATTTTCGCTGCAACTGTTAGTGCTTGTGAGTCTAAAAAAATATGAATCCGCGTATTTTAAATTCCGTTCAAGAAGAAGATGGTGGATACGACCCGTGAATTTAACAAAAAAGGAATTAGGGTTTCATGATACTTGTTTTAAACCGCTGAAATCAATGGATAAAGAGCACTTTTTCTAAGCAACAAGGATGAGTGTTGACAAATTTAATGCTCTTCTTTGTTTGATAAAAGACAAGCTCCATCGGTGTTCGAGAAGAGAACCGATAAATGAAGAAACACGTTTGGCAATTACATTGATGTAATTAATATTTATAATTTATATTAGGATTGTAAATAACAGGAAGTTATATTTAGGTACTTATCTCAAGGATGCTGTCTTAAATTTCTGGCATGGTCTCACAAAATTGGACTTTCAACGCTGAGGAAAATTATTTACGAAACTTGCGCTGCAATTTGGAATGAATTACACACAGTTTATGTTACTCAACCAAACCAATCCGAATGGAGAAACATTTCTGAAAGGTGGGCTTTACATTTTTGATAAATAATAAAAATTTATTCGATAAATGAATTTTTTTTATTCGTAGATTTTATATAAAAACCGGAATGCCGCACTGCCTAGGTGCTATTGATGGCAAACATATTAACATAGCTTGTGACTCCGACTATACATTTCCTTTTGTTGATGTTAGGGCAGTAGGAAGTCAAAACGATGGCGGAATTTTCGCCAAAAGTGCTTTTGGGAAAATGATATTAAGAAGAAACATCGTATTGCCTCCTCTCGATCACCTTCCGGGTAATTAAATAATCTGAATTTTGGAAATAACTTAATTTTTGATGATTACAAATACTTTCCTTATTTAGGTACAAATAAAGACTTCCAGTATTTCTTTGTGGGGGACAATGCTTTTCCACTTAAGGAAAACCTTATGCGTCCATATCCTGGCCGCAACTTGTCGCCTCTGAAGCAACAAGCTATCTTCCGCCAGAGTTTACATCGAAAATGCGTTTGGTATATTAGCGAATAGGTGGAGAATATTACATAGCAATATACATGCAGCACCAAAATATATTGACAAAATAGTGTTAGCAACAGTTGTGCTACATAATTATCTCATGCTAAACAGGAGCTCGGGATATTTTACTGAAGAGTTGGTGGACCATTCGGAAAATGATGCTTTCGTTCCTGGAATTTGGAGGCAAATAACTTCGCAAAGTCCAACGTTTCGAATTTCGCAAGCCAACCGTTCAACGACGGAGGCGTTTGCATCGAGAGACGAATTGGCGGAGTATTTATTTAATAATTAAGCCAGTATTTTCTGAAATTTTATTAAATTTCTTTTTCATTCCGTAAAATTCATATAAAATAACAAAAAGCGTTCCTATTTCAAAATAACAATTGCACTACAGTGTAACAAAAAACAATTCATAAGAAATATGTATTTACATAATGCATAAAAATTCAAATTAAATAATAAGCAGTCTAACGCATTGTTCTAAAAAATTAAAAAAAAATACATAAAGAAAATATTTCAGTCAAACACATATAATTTTTAGTTTCCTAATTCACTATACACTAAGGCTACTACTTTCGCCTCAATTTGTCGTATGCGTTGAGGGGTTAGGTTAGCCTCACTTATGTTCCTCGCCAAGCTTTTAAATAACAGTGACGTTGCATCCTCGTGTTCTGTGGGAAAGGCTGCAAACTCTTTCACCGTATCCACGCACTCCTTCATCATGTCAGTGAACACATCGTTAACGTCATCCCTTACTGCCTTCCTTTTTTTTTTGTTTTGGCGCATTTGGAGGAGTGTAATAACCTTCTGGAGGAGGACTTGTACTTGTACTTGCTGAAGTAGAACACTCTATTTCTTCAATAATTGCGTCAAAAGGCACGTTGCCGATGGTTCTATTAAGTCGAAAAGATTGAATTATAAGAATACAAATATGACAATTGTAATATTTACTCTCGAGAATCACTGTAGCCGTCCAAAAAACTTAATGTGTTCATATATTTCCATGTTTTGAATGGAATCGGAGCACCACTGCCGGAAGCCAGTAGCTGCGCACGTTTACGTTTTTTGTACGTGTCACGTAGTCCTTTCCATCGTTTCCTACAATTGTCTTCTGCAAATTTTTATAATACTTTAGAATAAAGTTTATAATAAAACAGGCTTTTCTTTGACTCACCCGGCAAATTTATTATTTTCGCTACTTCTTCCCAAATTTGGGTTTTTTTAAATACATTTTTGTAATCCGGTGATGATAAATTGTATATGCACTCATATTTACGTATACCCTCTATTAATTGCTCGTTTAATTCCATCTTATTTGCTTATAGCCACCTAGTGCGTACTTCGCGTTTAAAAATATCACAATGTTTTGATTTTGAAATTGAAATGACGAAACCAAACAGAAACAATCTTAATATTGCCAGCGCAGACATTTTCTTGCATTTGTTTTGAAAATTCTAAAGATTTTACTGAAAATAAACTTTCTTTGATATGGCAATGCCGTTTTTGCCGCCGCGGTCGGCGATAAAATTAGAAATTGCTCTGAATGAAAAATCGTCATGGTGGGCGAAATTCGTCGCCGTCGCGTATTGTGTTAATCTTCATATATAATTGTGTGTTCGAATCACCGACGGCATCGCCCAGTACGACGAATATTCGCCGTCGCCCGTATTGTGTTTACAGCATGATGCTGATCACCGTTACCTAAATACGCATATAAGATATTAAATCCTAAGCTAAGCATGTCAGTTGGATTTTGGCTATCACGTCGCCCAGACGTGTATTAAATAAACCAAGATACCACATATATACGTTAGAATCTGCTATCCTTTATCGACTTCCAGTAAAAATTTCAAGACATTTCATCTATTTGAAGTGAAGTTATTGCGTTTTAAGTGTCAGTATGGTTTTGTCATCGGTGCGAACATGAGCTTCATTGCATTTGCCGATGAAAGGAAAGCGTTATGCAGACGTGGAGGCCATTCAAAGGCTTGCAGCGGCATACTGGGGGCCATACCAGGCAACGAGCTAAAACACTTGTTCGACATGCTTTTGGACTGTGCAAAAAGCTGTATTAAAGCAGAAGGAGACTATTTTGAATAAAATTGATTGATTTTGCCGATAAAACCATTTGTTCTGTCTGTTTTTTTTTAAAGTCCTGTTTACTTTGAAACGCACCTTGTATATACCAAATATAAGATTTTCAAACTTCCGGTTGGTTTTATACCATATACATAGGTCAATATGTAAGATATTTTAGCAAAATTTAATGAACGTATAACATCCGATATACTACAGTTTACTGCCGAATATATGTGACATTGGTCCACGAATTACCCAAACTCCACATGTATTGAATATTCTGTTTCTTGTTCAACAGATTGTTTAAAAAATGTGAACATTTTAGCTTCAGCTTCCTCATTCAAATTTGATATCCATAAGGAACCTCTGGATCGCTGTATAAGTAATGTTTGTTACTTCTTACTACTTACTAATTAGTTAAATTTCTCTACTTTAGTTGAACGGTTTATTTGTTAACTAATATTTAAAAGTGAAAATTTATGTCAAATCGTCTCAAACTTTGTCGTCAATCTGTCGCATGTCGCTTTACAGGACTCTATATTTACATACATACATTTGCTTGTACACATCACCATATGCGCAATCGCAAACACACAAATTTGCTAAAATGACTGAGAACTTTACACAAAAGTACACTTAGATGTAAATTACAACGACAATTGGATGGCAATCATATTTTGATGCTGATGTCAAAGCGAAATGTAGGAAAAGAGCAGGTAGGCAGCTAGACTTAAATCACAAAAGCATCAATGTTCATATTTGTGATCAACTATATGCAAATATATGAAGAAACTAAAATAATATTCTCCTACTTCAGCAGACTTGACTAGAAATTGTTTAAATTTATCTTCTTTGTTGGTAATACCCTTGCGACTATGAATGGAAATGTTGTTGTGATCTTATACTATGAATATTACTTGTTATCAGCAATTCATTCTTTCTGAAGGTTAGTCGAAATGAAAAATCTGAGGAATGCAAATTCACAGGCACATATTTATAAGCATGCAAGTTAACGGCAGCCTCCAAAGAGCAGCCTTACCGTAACTGTAAATAAAATTGTATCTTAAGTTTTGTATTTATTCAGTCGCATAAATTAAATCTTTATTAACATTTTTTGCTTATTTAAGAGTTCTGTATGCTTTTTTCGTTCTGAATGGAATAATCCATTATTCATAATAAACGTAGGGAAATCAAGTCTTGCCAAATCGGCATAAATTATTATTTAGCATATTATTTAACAACGGCACGACTTGATTTCGCTTACGCAGATAAGCGACCAACTCATATTATTGATATATTTGTTGTTGCAGCCAAATATCTACGGCTGCCCCTCACAATGATATATTAGCTAACCACGGTACGGTACTTAATTTTGATGCCATTTTGGTACGACTTGATTTAGCCTACGCTATATCATTAGCATTTTATCTAACCACGGTACGATGGCAACAGGATAATTTTTCCAGTCATAAACTCCTGTAATCTCTTTGATTATCAAACTTGTACCGTTGCACATTCGAGTTGGATTCAAATTACTGTAATGAATAAGCATTATGTGATGCCGTTAGGGGTATGTCTAGAGAATTTAGAAACACAATTTGACATTTTAATTTACTTTCATTTCCGTTAATAAAATTTGCGATTGATTTAAAATACATCAGATCACTTGGCAACTGTTGTATCTAGAAATAAATTTCGTCAACATCTACATTTGTGGCCCGATTATAGAGTCTGTTATGATCCAAGTAATTATTTTTTATTTCCAGGAAAATACTCTTAGTTAATAAATTTTTGACGTGAACAGCAGTGCAGAAATTATCTGGCAATTTAATGTATTGAGTATTTGGTTGCCGTTCTGTAATACTATTCCCAATTTCAAGAAATCGTTCGGAATATATTTGACCGATCTGCCAAAATCACCAGACAGTAGTAATTTTATAGTTGCCGCTTAAATCTTCTCGAGAATATTTGTGAGCCATTATGCACTCATCTCAAATTATAACCTTTTGTCAACACTAGAGCTATTCCGGTAATTTTTTATACTTTTTCAACATGTTGCTAGAAATGGAGTTATATACATATATGTATACTAGCAGATCCGACAGACGTCCTGTACACACGTCGTTAATTCGAAAATTTCAAACATTCTTTAATAAGTACTGTATATATATATATATACTGTATGAGTGAAGTGAAATAAAGAAGTTGTGTTAACTAAAAAGATGCAGTTATTACCACACTCCCCGTATAAGATGACAACGAAAATAACAATAGAATAATAGATTTTTATCTGTTTCAATATCAAGTTAAATAGATGAAGTATAGATGGCGCTATTCTATAACGCCAACTCTTACCGCGAATGGGATGAATTTTTAAATTTAAAATCTTAAGCGGCCTTTACACGGTCATTCTTGTTTGCAAGCATGTGCGGCGTGATGAGAAGAATGAGCGTGTAAACATAATAAATTCGTGTTCGTCATACATGTTATGAACATGTTTTATGGTGTAAACGCTTGCATCATGCAAGCAGTCTATTTTTTTCAGTCGTAAGCAAACATTGAAGCGTAATGACGTCACGGATAAACGAAGAACTGTGGAAGGACTTCATTGAAATTTATCGAAGCGTTCTGGATGGCTGGATTAAAATTTTTTAAAAAAATCATATAACATTAAAAAAAACATATAAATAAAAAAAATTATAACAAAGATACAATACAAGTCATAATAAAATATCATGGTTTTATGATAAACGTTTTAAATTAAATTAGCAAATAAAATTTAGTTGCACGTTATTCAAAAATATTTTTGTCGTTCCCTGAAATTTCGTTTCGCACTGCTTTTGTTAGCTATTTTTAGCGGGTTTATTTCTGGCATCCCGCCTTTTTTGACATCAGCTGTTCGAAATTCCCTGATTTTAATAATCAGGGAAAGAGAATAACAGAAAAATCAGCGAAAATGAGAGTCTCGCTTCATGTCATCCTTGTCCTTTCATCCTTGATGTTGCTTCGTTCGCAAATAACAGAGAAATAAAATATGATTGCATGTTCGACCGTTTAAACGAAAACCAGTTTGTTTTGCATCATACCATGTTTGCATACAAAAATGACCGTGTAAAGGCCGCTTTACGTAATACAACGTTCACTACCCTCCCTACCCATGGTAAGAAATTATAAGATTCACTCAACATCCCTCCTCCCCTTAACGCCTTACATAATTTATTAATACCCCTTATGCTATCTTAGAATATTATTATCAGCGCCATCTACCATTCGCAACTGCAACTCAAATATACTTTTGAATATCTGGCACAACTGCAACGCAGTCTGCCGGAATTCTATGTAAA